TTCTGCGATTCGACCGGTCCCACTAACGCAGCCCCAAACAGATCCTCAAGGTCGTCGAGCTCGAGAAGGCCGACGATGTCAAGCGCCCCTACATCAAGCAGCTCCTCACCAAGGGTCTCACCTTCCCCCTCCCCCACCGCGTCCCCAAGATCCCCAACCAGAAGATCTTCTCCGCGAAGCGCCCTACCACTTTCGCATAAATTCACTGTGCGGGGCGTTGTTTCTCTGGTTTTCGACAAATGGAGGGGCGGGCTACTACTACTACTGGCAGGTGTTCACTAGGTCTCATGGAACTATCACATTTGCTTTACTGAAGGCAGGGGGCCACACAAAATGGAATGAAGAATCACAAGAATCAATTTTCGAGCATGGCCAAAACAAGTGGGAAATGACCAAAAAAGTCCTGATAGACCCGGCGAATGACGATACCTGAGTACGAAGCTTGTGAATCATGACCTTTTTGATTATGAGATAATGCCTCTGGTAGTCTGGCTCGGTCAGCAGGTCGGCTTCGTGCTTCCCAGGAAGCACGGGCAAGATGCCTGCTCGGCCGAGCCGTGTCAATTCAAGTTCGTGAGCCAAGACCTTCAGTATCAAGCAAGTGTGACTCCAACAAAAATATGAGCGTTTGCATCATCGCGGCATCCCGCATCGACTCGAGGATGAACTTGAGACGTATCATGGCTTCGAGTGTCACTGCACTCCAGCGTATTCTTTGCCCTGTCGGTGCTTCCCTCAGTTGCCTACTGGGCGCCTTGCTCAGATTGAAGTAGAAATCGAGCTACACATCGCGGGACAGCGTATACTACGATCTTCTTACTGGATGAAGAAGCACGGGGCAAAGTGTTCTTGCTGGATTTACCTAATGTGTATCCTCACACAGGGTGGACTAAGAAACTTCCTCAACATCTCGCGGAACAGAAGACGATTGATATGACCATACTTGAAAGTACTCACGAGACGTTTCTTGGTCCTAAGAAGTCCTGTTGATTAGCCTCGCGCAGGGACAAGAACTACTGTGGAAGAGTGTATGTTTGAGAGCCAGGACCTTGGAATGCATAATGTAAAGACGCCTACGGTGACATTGTAACATCCCGATAATGGGTTCGTCATCAGTATCAGTCGGGGTTGTCTGTGACGTAGTTGCTTGGCCAGCCGTACTCTACCCAGTGAAAAGCTGATACTTGGCAGTAACGTCGTCCACCGGTCAGCATAGACAACGGAGATCAAAAGCGAACACTTCCAGCCGATGTCTTCCCCTCGCGTTCAGATCATCTCAGCATCCCACATCGAATCACAACCCACACCCAAACATACAGAAAGTTGAACCTGGGATCTTGCTCCCTTTTCTAAAGACTGATAGGCGTGACACATCATATCGTACAGTTCCCTCCGCAATCTATCAATCCCCAGGCGACCTTTCCGTATTCGCCTCGTCCACGAACTCGCTCCATGTACTCCAATCCCACGAAAAGTCTCCAGCATCCATTTGCAACCCGAAATGATTGATCAGATCCTGCGGGTGGCCCCATAGCGGCGTGTTACCGAACATGGCCATATCCTCCGGGGGCGGCGGCGGCACGGCTGGGTTGGGCGATGGGTCGACTATCATCGGCGCAACAGGAATGCCGGCACCAACTCCAACTCCAACACCCATGGGTGCTAGCACCGGAGGAACTGCACTGGGCGGTGGCATCGATGGTGGTGGTGGCATTGACGGCGGCATCTGTTGACGTTGAGCCCCAACCCCAACGTCAACGTCGACATCGCCGTCTCCATCTTCTTCTTCGTCATCAACATCAACATCCCCGTCGTCGTCTTCGTCCTCCTCTTCATCTTGCTTAGCATCCGTATGCGCAGCTGCTGCCGCAGCCGACGTAGCAGCCGGAGTCGTAGTCGTCGTCGAAGCAGCCCGCGCACTACCTCCACCACTCCCGCCAATCTTCAAATCACCCATCAGAGCCTCCGCCCTCGCCGCCCGCGCCTTCCTCAACAACTTCTTCAGCGGCTTCCACAGCGTGCCCCTCCTCGTGTCCGCGATCCGCGCCCCCATCTCCGAGAAATTCCTGTCCACCACCTTCCACGCCCGCTCCACCAGCTCCCCCCGCGTCTGCACGCACAGCTCCGCCAGCGCGACCGCCAGCGGGTGCCACTGCACATAGCTATCGATCCACCACCCGAACCTATCGCGGTACGTGCTCGTGCTGAACTCGACCAGCTCGATCGTGTTCACCGCCGTCCGCAGCATCGTCTCCCGCGCCACGCGCGGCTTTGCCGCCGCCACCGCCGCCCGCGGCGTGAACGGGTACTGCGCCGACAGCCACATCTTGAGGATGATGATGCGCACCGTCACCGCCGCGTGGTTCGCCGGCAGGTGCGTTGCGTCCTTCTCGCCGCCGCTCCCATCTTCCGCGGACGGCGACTTCTGCGGCGCCGTCCCGAAGAGCGCCTCCAGCCGCTGCGCGTGCGCCATGATCTCGTCCTCCGAGGTCGTCGGCTCGGGCGTGCCGTCGTTGTCGAGCGCGAGCTGCGGGTGCCGCGGCCGCAGGTTGCCGAAGATGCCCGAGCTCATGGACGTGCAGAGGCAGAACGTCATCTCCGTCGGGCCCGTCCGGTCCTCGAGCGGCGTCGTCGTGGATGGGCCGAAATCGTCGTCGTTGAGGTTGTACGGGAGCCGCGTGTTGTACGACTGCCGTGGGATGGCGGCGTCCGTGCCGCGGTCCTCGGCGGCACGGATGTCGAGGACCACAATCATCCACCACAGCCGGCGGCGCATCTCGGCCTCGAACGGCGATATGGGAGGGGAGACACCGTCGCGGTGGAGGTGGAGGGCTTGTGCTAGGCGGACTACGAGAGGGATCAGGGCCCATGATGCCCTGCTTGCGTTGTGGGTGCGGAGAAAGCACTGCTTCCGCGTTAGTATGTTAACGTGTATCAAGAAACATGGGTTAAAACTTACGACGTAGTTTGTGAGGGCTTGGAGGGTCTTGATCTCGGTGCTGTTGAGATAGTCCGCCTTGATCAGCGCCCTCTCCACGCCCTCCCTGTACCGCTGGGCAAGGACGCTCCTCTCCTCGCCCAGGTTCTTCACGCATGCCTGGTTTGTCAAACTCGTAATAGCCCCAAAGTACATGGAAAAGAACAACGCCTCTGTGGCATCGTCGATCCGCTTCCCCGGCGTTTTCGCAAACGCCTCCATCTCGGCACACGTCGTCGGCCGGTGCAGCACCTTGAACGCCGGGTCCACATTCTCAAAGAAGATCCTGCACATGTACAGAATCTGCTCGCGCGGCGGGTGCTTCATCTCCTCTCCGCCGGGAGACGCCACGGTGCTGCTCAAGATCAACCCTGACAACGCCGGCGGCGTCAGGCCCTTGTTCGCAGAGCTCTCCGGGCTTGTCATCGGCGCCTCGTCCTCGGACGACTCATCCCCGTCGGATGGCTGGTCCAGCGCCTGCCTCATGCCCTCGACCTCCTGGCACAGGTTGTCCCAGAACTCGGCGCTCATCAGGTTCGCCGGCGGCGCGGGCTGGTCCCACCCCGGCGCGGCGGGCGACAGTTCATCCGATTCGCCTCCGCCCCCGGCTCCCGCTGAACTGCCGCTCCGCCCCCGGCCGGCTTGCACCTGGGCGGCGGCCGCGACCGCCGCCACGGCGGCATCCTTTGCGGCAGCGTCGAGGTTGCCCGAGTCGACCTTGGAGACAATGCTCTCGAGGCGGGTGATGCGGTTGAGCAGCTCGCTCTGGCGGCCCTGGCGCGGCTTCCGGTTGCGCTTGCGCGAAGGGAAGACGCAGTCCAGGTCGGAGCGCTCGCACTGCGTGCACCGGGGCTGGGTCTTGTCGCACTTGATCTTGCGGTGGCGGCAGTTTGCGCAGCTTAGGGGTTGCTTGCCGCTTGGTTCCTGTTGGTGCTGGCGCAGGGCCGCGCCTGATGCCGGCGGTGTCATTGTTCGTGGGAGTGTGTGTTGTGCTGTGTGTAATTTGATGCAAAATGTGTGATAATGTGAGCGAGATGTGTGTGTAGTCTCACATGGGAAGTCGAGTGCTGACGTATGTGATGTGTCGCTCGCTAGTCAGGATAGGTCAAGTTCAGGTCGTGGTGAGTGAGTGAGATGTGTGCAGGTGAGCCCAGCTGATGTCGGCCCAAGGCATTGAGATTGGCGAGACTGGATACGATATACGCCGAGCTGTCGAGAAGAGGTTGCCCAACTGCTGTGGACATATATCAGTCCTGGATTTGCTGCTGAAGAAGGAGAAGACAAAAGTCTTGTCGTCGTTGTCTTACTTTTCGCTTCGCGGTACTGAGAAGGGGGGAGGGAGGGCGTAGAAACGACGGGCTGCTGTGCCTGAAAGAATGGGGGTTCGATCTGCATTCAGCAACGACAAAATTCCTTACACTAAAAAGGCACGGCCGTGATCCCCACTTTGGGGCCGGTCGGGGAAAGCTTAAAGGTTCTTTACTCGGGGGCCAGGGGGGTCCCAAACCCTGCCCAAGGATGTCTTGCCAAGGGCCGTATTTTGTCGCGTTGCTGGTCCCCGGGGATGCAGTTGGTTTGTGTGAGTGTGTGCCAGGAAGGATGCCGGCCGGGTTGTTGGTGAGCAGAGAGCTGAGCCTCCGGGACGGGGAAAGAGGGAAGGTCAGTCAGTCAATGGCAGAGAAGGGGGAGAGAGATGGTCGTCAGCACCGGCGGTCCTAGTCATATTGCGGAGCTTGACACCCCCGTTTCATGCGCTAGTGTAAAGCGCGATAAAGCCGAAGCCCTCGTCGCTTTGCTTCTCCTGTAAAGGAAAACGGCCGACAGTATGAGTCAATCTCGATTTTACAATATGATCTGTACTTTAAATACCAAAAACGGGAGGTTCGAAGAGAGTTCAGCCAAGCCTGGATTTGCATGCGTTTGAAGCCAGGTCACATCGCTTGGAAATAGACGCTCTACCAAGACATCAGAGAAATCACATCGACGCCAAGACTGTATACATATATAAAAAACGCCAGTCATCATGGATATCAGCCCAGAACCGCTAGACTTCAAAACGGTCAAGACGACCCTGCCAACGCGGCCCCTGCCGCCACACGCCTTACGACAGCCCGTCGTCACCGAGCGGCTCATCCTGAGGCCCGTCTCCGCGGACGACCTGCAGGCCCTGCACACGCTGCGGACGCAGCCAGAGGTGATGAGGTTCTCGGCGGTCGGGCGCGTGGACGCGGACGTGGACGAGACGCGGGCGCGGCTGGCGCAGAACCTGCCGCCCCACGACGCCGACAACTACGACGTCTCCATCTGCCTGCGGGCGACGGGCCGGTGGATCGGCATCGGCGGCTGCAAGAAGCCCAGCGGCGGCGAGCTGGGCTGGCCCGAGATCGGGTACATGCTGCAGAAGGACTACTGGGGCAGCGGGTACGCGACCGAGTTCGTGCAGGCCTTCCTCGGCGCCTGGTGGTCGCTTCCCCGCTCCGAGTGCGAGATCGCGGTCGAGAGGGCCTCCGTGGAAGGCGAGAAGGCCGTCTCGGGGCGGGCGGGGGAGAGGGAGGGAGGCGTCGAGGAGATACTCACGGCTGTGACGGCGACGGATAACCCCGCCAGCCAGAAGATTCTCACGAAGTTGGGGTTTGAAAAGTTTAAGGTGTGGAAGGAGGTAGACGAGGAGAAGCAGACGGCGATCGTCCTCATCGGATATGGCATCAGGCGGCCCAGGCAATAGCCAAGACAATAGCCGGGGCGAGGCGATGCTTCTATGCTGGGTACATGACGTTGAACGAGGCAAAGGCGGATGGACCGCCGTCTCAACTTGGGACGTAACCTCAACCTTTGGACAATGAGCTGTCCGAATGAACGCGTACCTGTGTCTTTCGTCATCGGCACAATCGACCCCGGGATTCAGACGACCGGCCGGCTACCGACTGTGAGGAATCCCGGGAGATGGTGGGAGTCAGATCACCGCGTGGTCAGGCCTCGAGAACCCCATTGGCAAGCAGGGGTCGTCCGGGCTGGCGGGCGGCAGCGGGACGGGAGGACACCACCACTGTGACCTCGGACATTTTTGCTCGTCCGTGATTCTCCCGATCGAGGTCGGCGGCTGTAGGCGCCGTTGTGTCCACATAACGGCTTGGTATATAACGAATACGGGTATCGTCCCGAAACCTAGATAGATTTTGAAGCAAATTATCAAAAAAAGGTTTCTGTACGCCAAGACCATATCGTCGATTGTGTAGCAACATCACGACAAGCGCAGTGAGACCAACTCGACTCAGACACTCGGCAGTCAGCGACACACGCGCGTACACACATACACACGTCTAGCGACACACAGCCCTCTAGATCAGCATGTCGCAACTAGGCTTGACTAACAACATCGTCACTGCGACAGGCATCCTCGGATGCGCTTGGTGGGCAGGTAAGCTCTTCTCGTGCCTCCGGGGGGTTTCGTCGTGTCATTCGCAGTCGCTAACTCTTAGCACAGGCGCGGGGCAGTCGCTGTCCATCTTCAGTGTTGCCGCAGCCCTCGAGACCAGCGCAGAGCCGATCCATGCGTTGAAGCTGTGGCAAAACCTATTCTACCGCGGCATGTCCATAGGCCCAAAAGTCGCGGGCATCACCTTCCTGTCGTTGGCGTATTCGGCCTACGACCGCTACCGGCACGGCCTCGCGTGGAAGCCATTCGTCGTTGCCGGGGCACTCGGTCTTGGAATCGTGCCGTACACGTTCGCCTTCATGGGGCCAACCAACGAGAGGCTCCTGGCGGGCGCGCAGGGCGTGGTGGCGCTGGGATGGTCCGAGACCAGAGAGCTGCTCGTGAGGTGGCAGACGCTCAACATTGTCAGGAGCTTCTTCTCAATTGCCGGTGCCGCCGTTGGGCTCTGGTATACGGCCTTCCCTTGAGGAAGGGTTGAGGGCATGGGATTCTCGCAGAATATCGATCGTCTTGTATAGACAGGGGTTGGAGACTTTGGGACGGAGCAGGTTCATGTAAGATATAGATAGTTCTGGAAAAGGTGCCGAACAGGCGGTTTGGTTTGTTGGTGGGCGGCGGCCCATGCATTTTCAGGGTGGTCATCTTGGTGTGGTTTCAAAGTACCAGAGAGTTGAATCTTGGTAGGCTCAGTACATACATAGATAGCAACAGGCACAATGCACAGCACCGGGACCTTGCAAGCCTCGTTGGCAAGTCTGGCTGTGACGGGTTCCTGCTCTCCTGCTCACCTGCTCACCGCTAGATTCGGGTGTCCCAAAACCTTGGCTGCGACTACATCATACACGCATGGCGCAACGCAGTGATTGAGACGAGACGGGATCGCGGGGTGGTACTGGCAAGTTTAATGTCACGACAGTCAAGGCGCCGTACCGCGGAGCGGCATCCGGTTGCCAGGTGCATTGCAGTGCAGTGCGATCTGTGCTGAAGCGGTTGGTGGTGCAAAGACATGGTGACGCTGTCTTGGATTGAGTGTGTTGGGACATAGTTCATGGTAGGTATCCGTAGTGGCTGGACCGGTTCTTTCGGCCGGGTGGTGAAGGGCGGATGGGATGGCGGGGACAGAGTTCAGAGTTGGCAACGGGATGGGCAGAGTTTACCAGTCTCCCAGCTCTGGGGATGTGGCTGGCGGCGTGTGGTGTTGGTGGCCGTGGGCCGTGGGAGGCACATCTTTGGCGGTTTGTGAGTCCGGCGGCGGCTGAGCGGGTGCCAGCCCCCGCAACAAGGCACATCGCGGCAGGCCGTCTCCAGACGGTCTCCAGCGAAGAGGGCTCACCTGGGCAGACTTCCAGGCTGGATCCCGGGGGCCCGGCTGGGCTGGGCATCCATCGTCTTCGACGGGCATCGCTGGTCCGCCAAAATTGCACTTGGCAAGATACCTTAGTACGGGCCATGGCCCATTAGCTGCCTTGAATTCGCCTTGCCCTATCTCGGGTCGAAGTCGTGTTTAATGAGAAACTCGTCAACACCAGTTCCGTGTGGATGCCCACCGTTCCAACCCAACATGAATGAAGGCGCCGGGGAGCCCGAGTCGTCGTTTGCAGCGTGTGAGATGGGGGCCGTACGGCAGTGTGATTCGAGAATGCACATGAGCCTGTAGAAGTACGACGAATGGAAGCTGGAGGTGGGAAAGCGGAGGAAGCCTAAAGACGTTGAGTGAGGGTCGAGAATAAGCAGTAAGGTAGGTACACCCAAAAGTGAAAGGTACCGTGCCCCATGTGGAAGGCAGAGCGCAGCGCATCGCATCGCATCGCATCTCAGCGGCCGGATATCTGATGACCCCATTTATTTATTTTTCCCTGTGTCGAGGTCCACGGCCAGGGAAGAAGAGAAGGAAAGGGAAGCTGTGCCATGCCAGGGTGCACGTGTCAGCCCAACAGCCAAACGTTTTCCCTGTTTGATCGCTATTCTTACCTGCCACTGCCCTGTCCAGCCTGACTGCCTGCTGCTGCCCTACCCATGCCCCTTGTCCCAAGTCCCTTCCATGTACTGCGGTACCCATGTCCAGCCCCTCCGCTGTCTGTGTCTGTTCTTGGTCTCCCGTCTCTGCCTGACGATGTTGCTGCTCTGACCGAGGGTTCCTTCCAGTGCAGGTCCATACCCAAGGTGCTAAGTAGGTAGCTTGCGACTTGACCCCTCCAACCTCCATCCACGCGTGCTCAACCGTCCCGTCTTCACCCTCACCACTACTGCGGTAAACCCAAGGTAAAGCTGCAGGTGCAGGTACCCTGTCCACCTGGAGTTGCAGTCCGAGTACTTTAGTTACATCATCAGCTCTCACCCGCGCGCCGCCCAGCTCAAATCAACCAAAACAGCCCTCCTCCCTCGAGTCGTCCGCCGTCGTCGCTTCGCTCTCACACCCTCCGGACTGGAATCATCCATCGCATCCACACACACTCACACATACGCACTCTCACGCGCGCCAACGTCTTTGGCCTCTCTTCGCGCATGCGCATATTGCCGGCTGCGTGCGCCTACCACAACCTCGCCTACTTGACTCACCGTTGCAGCTGCTTGGCCTCAGCCTGCTTCTGCCTGCCATACCATACCTTGCCTACATTACATCTCCGTCTCGTATGACGAAGTTAAGGCGGCCCGCATCCCAGGCACAGTCTGTCTAGCTCTCGGTTATTAGTACATGTTGATACCCTCCGACTCCTTCGCAGTCGACACTAGTCTCCCTCCCCCTCCATACTGAATATCCAGCAACTTGCTTTGGCAAGACGCATACTACAACGCCACGCTCCTCACTTGAAGTCGCCCGCCGCGTCAAACGCTGCTACTACCGACTCAAGATCGGCCAGCACAAGCCACGGCCGTTATATCTACCCAACCCAGCCCATCCGATCTCCACAGTTTTTTTCACCGGGACCTTCCTGCCCGCAAAGGCACGCTGTTGATGTAGAGTTCGGCCCCGGATGGCGACGGCGACTCCAGAGCCAGACTCGAAAGAGTCTCCAAAGGCTCAACCTCAACCTCCACCCCAACCACAACCACAACCTGCAGATTCAAAGCCTCCAAACTTTTATGGTTATTTGATCAACCAGGACAAGGCGCCAACCCCGATTCTAGATGCCCTCCTACGCGCCATCGCGAACCACATTGTACGTCTAATCGTGTCTCCCATTTCCGCCCGCGCTTGTCTCTCCACCCCGCTTCGCAATTCCAGGCGACCACTGACATACCCCGCCAACAAAAGATCGCAGAAATCGGCGACAAAAATGTACAGGCCCTGACTCCTCAAAAGCTTGCCGCCTTCTACAAGGCAGTTGGCGGCAATTATGACGGTAAGCATATCCTTGGATCACCATGTGCAACCTTGTCATGCTGACGTGCCGTCATCGCAGCCCTTTTCATCGACATGCCCTACCCCGCCATATCTTACATATGGCAGGTCACTGGATGCCAACACTCCCTGCAACCCTCCGAGAACGACTTCGATGCCCCTTCCGTACCGGCCCTGACAAAACGCGGCTTTGTGCGATGGGAAATAATCGAGATCTTGCTAGACCCGGAAGAGCATGTGCCCTTTATCCAAAACGCAGTCAAGAACTGGAATCTCAAGCATCCTCAGACGAATGAGCCGTTTCCTAAAGATCTGCCCGACGACGCCTTTCCCGCCCAGCCAGACCCCGGAATCTCTGAGTGGCACAAGAAATGCGCCGAGAAGCTGAGGAAAGCTGCGACCCCCAATCAAGACTCAACCGCTCCGAAGCCCGCCGCCGCCGCCGCTGCTGCTGGCGCACCACCTTCAAATTGGCCGCCGGACAGGGACGAGCCGAGGGTCAAGGCCGCCTACGTGCACGTTCGAAACCCTTATCCAAAGGCATCACCACCTCCGCGCCCCCCTCAGACGGAGTACTTCCCCCCGCCGACACGGCCAGTGGCCTATAGTCATGTCCCGGGTCATGGCGGACGCTATCCCCCGTCCCGGCTGAACATTCCAGCAGCCCGATCTCCCGAGCAAGAACGATACCGAGGTCAGAATCAGAATTCACCGGATGATCGCCGCCGCCGAAGCTTCTCCGACTATCCATCTCCCTCGGGTGATCCCATGTATGCTTCGGAGCATCTCCACCCAAATAGGCCACCCATGCAACCTCGAAGACATAGTCAACCTCGTCACTACTCGTCCTCCTCAACTTCCGATTCCGAGGAGCCAGGGAGCCCACGATCCAAGCGCAGGCCTCACACGCACCATTCCAACGAACCCCCGCCTCCAGGCTTCCGGCGCATGCCTCCTCCCCCACCATCGGTTCAAGTACCGTCAGGGGCTCGTCTGCATCGCTCGGAGCTACGGGCAGACGACCCTCGCCGTCGCAGCATCCCGATCGTCGAGAAGATCAGCGAGAAAGTGGCATCTATCCTCCCCAACGGCCGTTCACCGGATCGGCAGCGCAGCACTTCAGGTCGCCGGAGCGATCCACCCTCCCGTCGCAGCCGTGAGCATCTTCCCACATCGAAGCTGAACCGCAGCTGGCCCGACATCGCTCCGGATGAGTCAGAAGAATCCGAATCTGAGGAAGAGGCGCGCCGGCGTCACCGGCGGCGTGAGTTGGAGGAGAGGGAGCGAGCAGAAAGGGAAAGACAGCAAAGAGCCCGCGACAGAGAGCGTGGCAGGGACAAGGATCGAAGACGCGATAGGGAGAGAGACAGAGACCACGAACATCGAGAGCGCGACAGAGGGGAGCGCGTAGTAGACTGGGAGAGGGATGAGGACAGGGAAGCTCGCCGGCGGCGGGAGCGACTGCACCCTGTGCGTCCGGAGGCTCAGCGCCGCACCAGCAGCCACGCCGACATAGATCGCATGCGTGAGCGAGGCGAACCTCCCTGGGAACCTCGGGACCGTGAGTTCAGAGATGATAGAAAGAGGTACAAGGAACCGCGCGGAGCCAGTCCCACGATTTCTGGCGTTGGCGGGCGTCAATATCCCAGTACTAAGCAGGCATGGGATTGATTTGGACCAGGAGCATCGATTTGAGCGGGCAGTCTTGAGCGATTTTGGTGGATTTGGGCTCGGGTGGACATATAAAGGGATATCATGATGATCAATCTTCACGCTTCAATCTTTGTACAACATGCCTATCTCACCTTGCGGACCGAGAGTCAGATGAGTGCACATAGGGTAATGAGACATGAACATTCTGCTTGAATATCTCTCATTCGTTAATGCATTTCTATCTCAAAATGAAGCCAATCGATGCTATGCTCTGCCAATACAACCAACGTTCCCGCCATCTTACCATTCTCTCTCGAAGCCGTCTCCTTCCTTGTCCACTTCATCGTCGGACATGAGATCCTCGCTTGGGAAACATGAAACCATGATGGTGTCAACGGGTCCGTCTTTGCCAGGACAAAAGCCATTTTGTTGAGATATGCCACCATATTCAGAAGGCCCAGAACTCCGGACCTGTAGACACTGAAGCAAGTCGTCGAGGCCCTCCTTAGAATAGACCTTGCTGCGGCCCGTAAGAGTCTCGCTGCCGTCCAGCGACATGCGATCGTGCGCAGAGTACTCTACACGCTCCGACTCGGTTTCATACGTAACACGGGGCCTCCGCGGCTCTACCTCTTCATCCGTTGTGTCGAGCTCAGAGTCCGGCTCCTTGTTCACGACCTCGTCCAGAGTGTCGTACTCGAATTCTTCGGCGTCGGCGATGGCTTCGAAGACGTCGCATAGATCGTGCTTGCATGTCCTGAATCCGTACGACGGTTCCGGGTCGGAGCTCCCCCCGTCGACGTCCATCTCCTCCGCCACAGCATGCCCCTCCCCCGGCTCCGCCTGGCGCCTCTTGCGCGGTCTGTTATCCCCGCCGGTATCCTTGCGCTTGCCACCGCCAACTTCCTCGCTTGTCTCGCGAGCGCATCCCCGCTCGTCCGACGCTCGTTGTTGCGCGGCGGCGGCCATGGACTTCGCGATGGGGAGGTGGTACGCGTTGACGAAGCCCTGCGGCAGGCTCCTCGCCTCGGGACATCCCTTCCGCAGACGCGTGATGCGGTAGTGGTAGGGGCACTGGCGCTCCACCTTATGGACGAGGGAGGGGTGGAAGGGCCGGGCGAGGCAGCGTTGCGAGGATGGACCGTGGGCGCATTTGTTGCGGCGGTGGAAGAGTTGGCAGTTGCAGGTTGTGAAGTGGACGTAGATTCGTTGGCACATTTTTTCCGCCTTTGTGACGATGCTGCTTTTTCGTAGTTTTGCTTGGTATGCTAAAGATGCCCCTTTTTTTGCGGTGCGTAGTGGTGAAGTTGGCAATGCTTTTTTTGTGGTGTAGTCGGGTGGAGGGTATATTCAGACAAGTTGGGTGGCCGAAATAGGGGGTGATAGTAGCAAGTTGGCTGACGTCGGTTGAGGGGTTTAACAAAAGAGTGTGAGATGGAAGGAGCGAGTGAGGTGGTCTGGTGGTGAGTAGAGTCCTTTGGGGGGTTGTGGACTTTCTTTTCTCTCGAGACCCGTTGGTGAAGCGGCAGGTTTTTGGGTAGGGGCGGGATAGACCAGCAACGGCAAGAGCTTCGTCTGTCCACGCTGCCGAGAGAATAAGTGGACTTTAAACGGTGACGGTTGTCGTCTGGGAGGATGTACCTGAGAAGCTGCCATTCACTTCAGAGTATTCACCCAGTTGAGGGCTGTTGATTCATTTACTCTGCATCGATATTTCCGTCCAAAATCTCTCCTTCGAGTAGTGACGAGTCATAAAGGAAGAGACAACCTGCCAACGAAGCTGTCGCAGTGTTATTTTCTTAAACCAATAAGACATTGCTTACGCTTTCTTAGACATGGCCACGCTCAAGAAAATACTCTGAAATGTCGAAAGATGGTATCAATATCTAAATCTAGAGAATGGTGACGACGCATTCTCTTCAAGAGCAACTCCCAAATTGTATCGTGCTGTATGTCCAGACCTTTCCAATCACCATATCTGCCCATTTCACGCGCCCCTTTCCACATCCTTACGCCCCTGTAAATCCTCCCGACTGGTCTCATCGCTGGTCACCAGCCCCTGTTCCGTCACATGCTCCTGGTCCAGGCTGTACCTCTTGATCGTCAGACTCAGAACCATGCAAAATCCAGAAAACGCAATTAGACTGATCCATATCGCCCTCAGCGCGTCACAGTACGCCTCCACCAGCTCGGCGCGCACCGCGTCCCGCGGCATCTGCTTGATGATCTCCACCACGATGGTCGCGTCGCGGGAGTACTCGTCCGCGAGGTGCGCCAGGTCCGGCACGGCCGCCAGCTTCTCGCGGAACGCGTTCTGGAAGATGACTCCGGAGACGGCCACACCGAGGGACTGGCCAAAGGTCCGGAGGAACGAGTAGAACGCGGCGGCCTGGCCGTTGAGCGCGGGCTCGCACGCCGCCTGGATCGAGAGGGCCATGGCCGGGAAGAGCATGCCGGTGCCCAGCCCGATCGGGATGTTGAGCCAGATCCAGGCCGGCACGGTGGTCCCGGGCTTCATGAGACACAGGAGCCCCGCTCCGAGGGTCGTGATGACCCAGCCTGACCAGATGGACCAGCGGTATCTACCCGTGATGCCAGCGATGAGGCCGACGGCCATAGCGGCGGGGGCGACGGTGAGGGTCTCTGGGAGGGCGGCGACGGCAGATATGACGAGAGAGTACGACTTTACGGCTTGGTAATAGAGGACTGCGAAGGCATTAGCATTGAGGCAAGAAAGGGGTAAAAGCGCATAAGGGGATTTCTCACTGAGAAAGTAAAGAAGAGACCAGAGAATCATGCCGTGAAAGACCGTCATGATGTAATTCGCAACCATGGTCCAGTTGTTGAAGATTCCTTTGTCAATCATGGGCTCCTTTGCGAAACTCAACTCCCAGACTCCAAACGCAACGAGGATGAAGACCCCCAGAACAAGGGGCAGAAGCGACCTGAAGGATTTCCACTCGTACATGACGCCGCCCGTCGAGATCCCAAACAGAAAACTCGTCGAGCCCGCCGTGAAGAGAAAACTCCCCAGCCAGTCGAACCGGCCGAGCTTGCCCGCGATGTCGCCCGGGATCTTGGCCTGCTTCAGGAAGAAGAAGATCATGACGACGCCGACGGCGATGATGGGCAGATTGATCCAGAAGATCCACGCCCACGTCACGTTCTGCGCGAAGCCGGCCCCGATCAGCGGGCCCGTGACCGTCCCGACGGACCAGACGGCCGAGAGCAGCGAGAACCACTGCCCGCGCACGTAGAGCGGCACGAGGTCCGTCACGATGACCTCGCACAGCGCAAGGATGCCGCCGCCGCCGACACCCTGGATCGTGCGGCCGACGATGACGACGCGGAAGCTCTTTGCGACGGCGCCGACAACCGAACCCGCGGCGAAGAAGAGGGCCGAGACGTACACGAGGGGCTTGCGGCCGAAGATGCTGCTCAGGCCGGCGACGGTGGGCTGGAGGACGGTGCTCGCGAGGAGGAAGCTGGTGCCGGACCAGAAGGCCTCGAGGGCGGTGCCGCCGAGCTCTGCGCTCATCGTCGGGAGGGCGACGGAGAGGGTCGTGGCGTCGAAGGCGACGGCCAGGGCGACGGTGCAGAGTGCGCCGAAGGCGAGGAGGAACTCGCGCGAGGGCTTGAAGATAAGTTTGCCATCTTTGTCGACGTGGGTTATTCGTTTCTCTAGGACCACTGTCGGCGGTGGTGGTATGTTTGGTTTTGATGAAGACATTGTGAAAGGTTGTGGTAGTTTGGAGATGATTCGAGAAGAAGAATTATGATGGATGTATAGACTAGAGGTCAAGTTGTAGACTCGGTGCTTTTGATGCTGATAAAGGGGTGCTGTTATTCAGAGACTACAGACCCGAGCTGTGAATAAGTGATTCAAGAGTCAATGCCTCTTAAATGCAAAGCTGAGCACCCATGATCGAATGCCGTCAACATCTTCTCATTCTCTCCGCTCCACGTCAGGAGATTACTCCATACAAAATCCACGGCCAACCCCTGTTGGTCAGCCATACATACACAATATGCCGGTCTGCGGCTCAATACATGGTCGACGCGCTAGGGGAGCTGCGAATGGCCTCATGGGCTGCCCAAAAAGCGGACCACCTCTCGTAACCCCGACGCTAATCAATTGCTCCGCCGTAAATCTCGACTCGTCAGCATGCCGTGTTGCCTGGGAAAAGCTTGGTCCGCAGGGCTGCAGTGATGTGCCAGTTGGTCGAGCTGAGGTGGGTTTCGCCCGACGGAGGGCACACCAGCGCAATACCAGTGCAGGCCAGAGCGGCAAATACCGCGATCGTGAGTCGCTTCCATTCCGACGGACAGGACGGGCGAAATGTTCTGCCGAAGGGTGCACTTCCGGGCTAGACCGTTGACGGCTCGGACATTTGTGGGTCCAAACCCGGCGGCGGACATCGCTAGCGCCGGTGAACTGGCCTAGTAGTCAGGCAGGCTTGCGTACAATTACCAGGCCAAATGAACATTCGAGCTAGCCTGGTTGAGGGCCAGATATTCCCTTGCAATTCAGATTCTTGGTCAATTTTGTTGGTCGAGTCTTTCCGGTTCTGGCACTTGCCCGAAGCAGCAGAAGTTATGAAGGATTCGTCTGCGTCATCTTGCAATATCCCCATTTGCCGGGCGCTGGTTATCCGCTTTGAGTCGGACTCGCTTTCCTTACGCCTGATCCCCTCCGGCCCCACCCGAATTCGCTCGAATCTCGAGCAACTGCGCGACACGCCTGTCCACTGGACCATCGCTGTAGGTATGGTGAATCTTGGAAAGCTCACTGTGAGATATGTTGGGGACGGAAATACGCGGGAGATTAAAAGTCGGGATCTCCATGTGCGGGCCAAATTGGCCGAATTCTCGGGCGTATCCCCGCCCGACCTGTTGCCGCTCGGCCGAAATTTCATCCTCGCCTTCCAGAGACCGCAGGAAAATGGTTGGCTGCAGCTGCTCAGATAATGCCCGAGGACAATAAGGAGAAAAAAAACGAGGGTAGTCCTTAACCTGTCGAAAGAGCCCTGGTCGTTGGCTAAGCGAAGCTGAACGTGCAGGTCACGACTCATTAAGCAGACAGGATTTGAGCAGGAAATTCTCCGAAACCCTTGGACCGGCCTTCCCTGCCGCAATGTGGCCACTCAGCCGCATCGTGCCGGCTATGGAAACCAAGCCAGAGTTTATTCTGAGCTCCGATGGTGGCCACCCGAATGGCTGAGACGGTCCAGCCTTCAGCGACCTTCCTGGTCCGCAGCAGCAATTGTCGGAGGAAAGAGCTAATCCTCACGAAAACGAGCCACTTGCGGGCGTTGGCGAAACATAAGAAATCAATCTGTGATGGGCAGAAACTGACAGATTTACTTCAACATTACACTTCCCCTCCTCCTTTCGCCTCATGCTATGCTCTGTCAGTGGCTCCTGGGAAAGTGGTGTCTGACCCGGGGAGTTAGGTGAGTTGCCAAGAGAAGGCTAATTCATGAGATTCGTGGAGACGATGGCCAGTGGGAACCAAACGTCAAACTTGTCAGAACCTTGCCTTTGAACGGGGAACCCCCGCTTGACCCGAGAGTGTCGGCTTAAGTCAGTCTGGCAGTGTGACTACTTCCCTTTGAGTCACAACCACCTGAAGGTGTGTCACAGACCAAGCTGCCTTTTTGAAACTGCAGACAACTCTGCTGAGCAGAAGCGTCAACGCCGACTAAGCGGATGAATGACATGCAGTCGCTTTGATGATGAAGGGTTGCTGGCTAAGTTCCTCGTGTTCTTGTCGTGTCTCGTAGAACGGCAAACTCCTAGACAAACCGGTTCACCGTTGGAGTGGGATGCCTCACATTAATGGCAAGGGACCCTTTACAGCCGTGGCCCTAGCGGTTTACAACCTATCCCCGATCAGCTGGTCGCCCTGGAGAGCTGAAGGATTGGCAGGCTTGAGGAACTCGGGCCTCATGAATGTCAAAGCAGTGTCGATACTCTGCAGCTGGAGGGGACGTGCGAGTGCAGATGTGCCGGCAAACTGATAGCTGGTGCCACGCGGCATTGGGTTGACTCTGACAGGTGGACGTCCCCTTGCCGAAGGGAGCGACATTGCAGACTGCTGCCGCTGCATGGACTTGTCGATGCCGCTTGGTTCGGCGTTGAAGCACTGTTATTCGCTTTCCGGCGCTTCGTCCCCTCGGTTCCTCAGGGCCTGAAGTCTTGACAGGCGAGTGCCATCATCACGGCCCAATCAGACATCTGACAGATGGAGATCTGTCATTTCTGAGGATTTGCCGGCGAGTGCCGATGGAACGGCATTCCTCTGAGCTTCATCAAGCACGTAACAACGCACAGATTTCTCTCGGGCAACGCTGACTGGTTGATAGGAAGCAAACCTTAGCAGCCCATGATGACGAGGAGCAGTTCTCTCGGCAGTCTAGATTCTGTATTCATGCAGTGGACATGCGCGTCAGTCAGTCCGGGGAATGTCGTGGGTTGTCATTTGAATTTGATGGGCAGTGTCAATCAGATAGACGAACGTCTGAGAGGCTGAAGATGGACGTTTGAAATAAACTCGCAGCTGTCGCGCCAACGCTACATTAAAAAGTGGATCCCGCTGATCCTTCTTGGACCCACTCCAGCCCAGTGCACTTGACGCTAAGATGATCGATTCACTCTCGGTCAGCGCGGGATGACCAAAGGGGAAGAAGCCCTTGCCAGGCCTGGCAGTCCACCCTTCTCCTCGACACCTCGAGCAACAGTCCCTCCCTCCTGCCATCTACAAACACAGTTTGGCACCAGATTTGAGCTCAATAGAAACACGAAGCTTTCCGTCTCGTCGGTTTGGTTACAACTTGCCTTTCTCGAATACGATCCCCCACAGCCTCTTGACGACGGAACGCGAACAAGATTACTAGTCCTCAGTCAATGTTCAGTCAATATTCATCGTTCGGTTAGAATTGACAACTGCTGCCTTCTGCAGGACGTTTTGCCAGGCATTGCCCGCGACTGGATTACCCTTTCGGGTCCGGGCTGAACCGGATGAAACGATCCCATCACCTTCAATGACGAAGCAACTCCACGCCGTCAAGTGTCGCGTGTGGGTGGGCAAGCATCCGATTACCATACCGCTGGAACCGCCGACTCAGACAAGACTTGCCTGTCCTGCCGTCCGACTCAATGAGAGCCGTCTCTACCCAAGGGCCAACGGGTCTCTTCCCGTTTATCCATTGGCCTAATTAGCCCCGTCCCGGATCTATGGGAGAGGCTTCGTCGACACCATGACGCGCTCCGCCCCGCGGGATCTAGACACTCCGCCATGTTCCCTGCTAGGGATTTCCTTTTTTCTTCCACTAACTGTCTGTCGAATTCCTCTCGATTCGCCGGAGCCGGGGTCGGAACCGATGCTGTCATTCAGGTCTGTTCCCCTCGCAGGACCCAACGGCTGCCTGCCGGTCTGCGGTCAGACTTCGGCGACCCTTTGATATGAACCACCTTTGTTTGAATGTTTGGACCAAAGAGATTTATGCCAAACTCCTAGTGGCTGGGCATACATGAGTGCTGGAGAAGATTCAACGAAAAATGTCCTTCCAGGCCACCAATACGCTGGCGCGCACAAACACATACGCTGACTGACACCTGTCTGAGGTGCCATTTATCGACCGGCTTGCCGAAGAGCCGGGTTATCCCTCGGATGATCGACGCCAGGATCGTGGCCGTTGCTGATCTCTCCTCGCACATTTTGTTTGCCGTCTCAAACATTGTGCGCTCGAGCACCGATGGGAGCACCCTTGATCGACTGCAGTCCGCGCCTCGTCAGGGCTTAGCGGCGCATGAAACAAACCTTCGGGGAGGCCAGACAATAACGTATACACCATCCGCCTAATCCCAGACCACCAGAGATCGTCCTCCGCCAACGGCGCGATCCCGCTCGATCATTATGAGTTTTCCCATTCGCTAATGCGTCGAATAGGCGCTATTGAGTTTCGCAGGCGTCCCATCGGTGATCCAGCCCTTCCGTCGTTCTGTTGCCAACCAGGCATTGGGCTGCTAATCAACCAGCCCTGTACCGCTGATTCCCACAATTTTGCCTGCAGTTCGTCGCTATGACATAGTGGTGTTCTTCTTTTCCCTCCCGCTTGATCTACCGGCCCTCGCCTTTTGGTCTAACCCGAAAGGTTGACCTCGGAACCTGTGTTTTTGGGACGTCGGAACCAAAACTTGTGAAAAAGAGCTCGGCCTCTCATACCCTCCGGAGTTGATTCCTACAACCTGTTGAACAACGACACCACTCTCAACATTCCGACCACACTACTGCAACAATGGTAAACACCGGCAAGCCATCTGGTGGCTGCAAGCTTTGCAGGGCCAGGAGGATCAAGTGTGATGAAGGCAAGCCATTCTGCATGAGGTGCAAAAAGTCAAGGCGTCAGTGTCCTGGCTACCGCGATCCTTTCGAGGCCAATATCCGCGATGAGACCGAGGCGACGATTAAGAGATTCAAGAAGTCGAGGGGTGAAGACAGCTCGGAGGACGAAGGCAAGGGCCCATCACCAGTCTGCAACAAGCAGTGCTTGACATCGGTGGCTGGCCCAAAATACAAGACGTTCGACTACTCGAACCCGGCTGCGTTTCCGTTCCGGGCAGACGATGACTCGACCGAAGACGACGAAGACATTCCTGTGTCCCTATTTGACTCTCTCGACGAACAGGCCTCTTGCTACTTCCTATCAGAGTTCATCATTGTACCCTATACGCCGACGGCCAGGGGCTATTACCGTTTCCTTCCTCGGTTCTTGAGTCAACCGAACGTCTCCAAATGTCTGTCGCAAGCTTACAAAGCCGTGTCGTTGGCGGCTCTGGCGAGTCGAAGAACCGTCAACGCAAGTTCTGCCATGTTCCACGCTCAGAACCACTATATGAGAGCTGTGAGGGCTGTCAATAAAGCCATCATGGACCCTGAGGAAGTGAAGAATGACCAAACACTTGGAGCAGTTCTAATGTTAGCGTTTTACGAGGTAAGCGCGTCAGATTGATGTTTGGAATGTGAAGAGGACTAACAAATGGGTAGATTCTGACCGCATCTCGGAATTCCATTGCGGAATACACCAACCACATGAAGGGGGCAGCCATTATCGTGAAACTCAGGGGGCAGAAAGGACTCGAGACACCCGAAGGCGAGGAGATGTTCGCCATCACCAGAAACCAATGCCTGTCAATCCACTGCCTACCAAATTCACCAGAGGTAGCCGAGTTTACCTGGCTGCTTCATCACGAATGTCGCGGACGTATGCAACACGCCATCGCCAGCATGGATATTCAGAGCAGTCAAATCAGGCAGGACGTTGACAGAATCCTGGGTGCCGGGGACCGTAAGCCCGAGACGATTCAAAAGGTGCTTGACGCCCTCAAACGTGCCCAGGCGCTTGAGGCCAAGTTCCGCAAGCTCAACAATGACCCGAGCCCGCAATGGAAGGTTGATACTGTCGACTGGGTCATGGATCGCCAAGACAACGAACTCGATACGGCACAATCATTCAATGGTCCGATTTACGGCTTCTTCAATCTTCCGCTAGCCATCTTGCACGTTGCCACATGGTGTTGCCATCTAATGTTGACAACCACCATCTTGCGTTGTATGGCCTGGTTGGTTGCACCAGATGACTACCGTATGGGAGAAGAGTACGAAGAGCTGAAGAGCTCGGCGATTTTGCGAATCGACGACACCATCGCCTCGGCACCCTTCTTCTGCAAGTGGAACGGCTATGGAGTCGTTGTGGCACAGTTTCCATGCGGACAAAACACCAAGCCAGACGATCCGTTGAAGGGAGCCGCGGGGCTCATGATTCTCTGGCCACTGGTCACGGCTTATACCAGCGACTTTGCAACCCCGAGGCAGAAGCGTTTCTTGAGGGGTCGGCTCAAATACCTCGCTGACGTTGCTGGTATCAAGCAAGCCAATGTCTTCCTCAATGTAAGTTTGTCCAGCACAGGCAGCCAGCGGGCTCCTGCTAACAAATGGTAGATGCAGATGGAAGATGTTTCTTCACCATCAAAGGAAATTGAGCGTGACCGTAGGCAAGGCGTTCAGCCCACTTCGGATGGTCTGGAAAGCCTGCGAGCGTTTCCGTTCTAGAGCATCATTCTCAACGAGCGTTTCCGTCTTTTACATTTTCATGGGACAAATCAGGATTCTACACTCGACACACTCGACGACTGAGCTTGGCATCAGCAGCAACACTCTCTTTCCACTTCTTGTACAGACGATTTTGTTTTACACGCGTTACAACATGGCGGGCATGAGGTATGGGGTGCATCGGAGGAGGTCCTCTGGAGGAGTCTTCTTCTGTGGTGTTGGGGGCAGGCGGAAAAGCTTGAAGCTCTTAAGGAGACTGTGGGTTCTGTTTTTCTGGGTTTCGTTTTGTCCAGCCGGTTTATCATTTAGCGGGGTTTCTTCATTTCTTGGACTGTCCAGACTTTCCTTCTCTTCACTGTTGATATATCGTTCCATGTTCTGGTTTCTGTTCCGGTTTCCAAACGGTCCTTCTAGACAGTTGTTGGCACGACTTGACGAATTTGGCATGGCTTGGGTTTTTGGGGATAGCACGATGAGACGACTTTTAGGGGAATACAGACGAACATCTTTCCTCGAAAACACCCCTGACATTACTTTTCGCATGCGTCTATCCCAGTGATCTGTCTTGATGCGGTGAAAATGAACCAACCCAACAAAAGAAGACAATCTAATGCAACCCTCACCCAACAACACCTCCTAGACAAGAAGCCAACCTTTCACCTCCCACGCCGTCCGACGCCGATCCTGTCCTCCCTCGTGCGGCCCCCACGGCCCCCGTCTCCCGGCGTCGGCGTCGTCTGCATCACAGCCGCACCCCGGCCCGACTGTCCCAAGCGCTGCACCGGCGCCTGCTGCTGCTGCGCCCTCATCATCTCGTCCTGCCGCCTGAGCAGCTCGGCCTGGTGCGCCTCGTACTCTGCGTACTCCTCGGCCGAGATGTCCGGGTCATACGGCTGCTGCTGGCGCTGCGGCGACGACGACGGCAACTGCTGCTGCTGCTGCTGGAGGATGCGTTGCTGCTGTTGCTGCTGCTGCGCCTGGATCAGAGCCTGGCGCTCGCGGAGCATGGCCTCGCGCGCGCGGCGGTCTTCGTAGGCTGCGATGTCCTCTGCCGTGATGGAGAGGGTTGTTGCGGGGCGGCGGAGCATCTTGGTTTAGGTTGGAGGTTGGGTGAGTGTGAGATGAGGTGAAGCAGGGGGTTGAGAGGTGAGTTTGTGTTGGCTGTTTTTGCCAGGCAACACAACAATATGGTGTGATGCGCGCGGCGAGGTTTGAGGGTTTGGTTCCAACGTGATCCCTTGCTCGTGACGCAGAAGCCTGACGCAATGTCACTCTGTGATAAAAAGTCCAGTGGCGGCGATGTGTGCTCTCTTGGGTTTTCCGTCGGATTAGGCAGTTGCTCAAGGTGCAGCTGGGTGAGTTTACACCTTCAGCTAGGGGACCCGCAAAGTCGTCCTTGCAAGGGGTTCTTTTTTCCCCCCCCCTCTCTGCGAAGAAGCGGCGCAGGAATATGCGAGAAAGATGCCTGAGCCTGCGAGAGATGTTGCGAAGCGACGTGGGGTCGTGGTGAAGAAAAGTGTATGCGTCAACGGGGGGGCGGAGCGCGGAGAGCTGACGATGCAGTTGGTTGTCGTTGGTCGTTGTTGTTGATTTTTTGCTCAGTTGTCGCTTTTTTTGGCGCGTCGGCGGCGGCGAGAAAAACACCGCTGGAGATTCAGCGACAACGGGTCACCCACCCCCCGGTCCATTTCAGCCCGCCCGCCCGTTCATCAATGTGCCCTAGCGTTCTAGCGTGCGGGTCTTGCCGGGGCGATCCGCGGTGGGGGGACGGCACCGGGGTTCAAGTGTTCGCTCACGCGGGCGAGAGGGCTGCCGGCGGCTGTGGCCAATTGGGGGCCGTTGGAGAGGGACAGTGTTGGCCGTACTGTATCATCATGTTGGGTGAAAGGCCCTGGAGCAGCAGCAGGCAGCAAGAAGTCGGCTCAGCCCTAAGAGAAATCCATCATGGCTGCTACCCACCTTACCCTCGGACTGGCTGTACCGCCTTGTGATCGGCGGGTTCAACCAGACTTTCGTTGGACTCTTTGCACATAGGCGACGATGATCGTCATGTGGCTAGGTAAAGGCAGAGAAATTCAACGACGATCGTGACCAAAGTAGTTTGATAGTAGACACAGTCCCACACAAGGGATCGTTCACATCATGTGTCAGAGAGGATTCGAATTATGCATCGTTTTCATTTAGGTTCGGTCTACCCTGTAAATGATTGTTCCCTTTCCCTTTCATGCCCATGAACCTCGTCCCGTCGTAAAGTTGTGTGATATCGTGTGCCTTCCATTCTCAGTACACCCCCGTAGCGTAGACGTGCTCCGCCTCCCATCTCAGGAAGTCGCCCAGATCGTGCCCGAGGTTGTACCCCATCGGCACCACCTCCGCCTCCCCGTCTGTGCCCCTCACCATGACGAGGTCCATCATCGGGCTGGGCGGCAGGCTCTCGATGCTCTCGCGGTTGTACCGCTTGGGGTGGCCCTCCATTGTCCACCGCCGGATGTTGCACCCCTTGGTGAGGAACTTTGACGCGTCGAACTTGCCCTCGTTCCAGAATCCGCTCGGGTGCTCAAACTCCACCGGGATCGGCAGGTTGATGTCCGTCGAGACCGACGACATGGGCGAGTACTCGGACGCCGTCGTGCTGGCGCTGACACTGGCCGGGCTGGCTAGAGCTGCTGCGGCGGCGGCGGAGGAGATGAGCAGGCCGTGGTGGTCGAAGCCGAACTCCTCAAACCAGTCGACCAGGTCCGCCGTCTCTTCGGCCTCCGACCGCTGCAAAAAGTCCGACGGATCTGAGAAGAGGTCGCCTGCGCCGCCGAGGATGGCCATCTGGAACGCGGTCCAGTCCAGGGTGTCGTCCGGGTCGATCTTCATGCCCTGGACGACGTCGGACTTGGGGAAGCGGATCTGTCCGTGGCGGAGGTTGGGATGGTTGAGTGTGTAGTTTGTCGACTGGAGGAAGACGAAGTCGTCCTCGTCGACGGGGGCAAACGTGCGCGTCGCCTGTTTCTGCGTCGTGTCTGAATATGTCGTCGTATCCGGTGTCGTGATGATGACCTCCGGTATCGTGGGTAGCTGTGGTGCCTGCGGCCGGGGCGCGAATCTCAACGGGTTCTTTGCCGGCGGAGGGGGAGGGGCGGCCATGTCGTCAACCTCCGTGGTGTCTCTGGTCATGGAATCTTTGACGGGCGCGGCGGGCTTCTTGCGCAGCGGGGACTTCTCCTTCACCGAGAAGCGCCGTCGCACGGCTGGGTCGAGGGGCTTAGAATGTGACACGGTGTCGCTGGATGTAACCACCATGCCAACACCTGCCGCTCCTATCCGGCGGGGCAGGTCTTGGAGATGGAAAGGCTCGACGGGTGTCTCACTGCCGTCCGTGTCGACTGTCCTCGCGGTGTCGCTTGAGATCCGAGCCTGGGTCTCCCGGCCGGCCCTCAAGGCTTGAAGGTGGTCTGGTGAGAGGAGCTCGTTGACCTCCATCTTGCGGAAGAACTGGCCACTGAGGATGTCGACGACTTCTTCTCCGAGTTGCCATCGAGCGTTCTTCTTGGACCGCGACTTTGATCGCTTGACCTTCTTCGACTTCTTCCTGCGGGGTCTGGACGTTGATGAACCTGATACACTGCGGACTGGAGGGGGGAGGGGAGGAGTGCTGTTCGCAATGGCGTGAGGCTTCGTTGACCACTTGAGAGGCGAATCCATGTTGGCGATGGTAGGAGATGATGGACGCCTCGTCTCCGGAGCGTTGAAAGACGAAACGGCGACCTTGGCCTCTTCGATGGCTGTACCTACGGCCTTGAATGCCTCGTCGGTTTCTCGGATGAGGTCTTGAACATTTAGTGACCAGTCATCCGGGCTGTTGTCTGTTCGTGACGCTGAGCTGGCAGGGGTTCCCCTCAACGTAAGATGTTCTCCTGAGGTCCTAGGCTTGGTGTCCTGTTGTGTTTGTAAAGGAGCGATGCAAAGATGTCTCCGGTCCGCGAGACGTTTTGGTGCCGACGAACGAGACGCTCGAGGCGGCGGCCGTGGCGGACAAAGGATGGCATCTCTGCTGTTCGTCGAGGCTGTATCTGTATGACTCTGGGAGCTGCACAAAGAGCTGGAGGACGAGCTGGGTGAAGGCTCAGGTAAGGGAACGGCCTCGGTCGAGGTCCTCTTGATGCTTTGTGTCCTTCGTACGAGGGTGTCCTCCCTCGATGGCCTGCGGGCCTTTGCGTTGGATGGACGTCTGGCCGGCGCCCATGAGTTTGACTTTTGTTGTTGCTGCTGCTTACGTCGGGACTTGAAGATGAAGAGGTCCTCGCTCGCGGCCGAGTCCTCCGAGTGGCGACGTTCCTCCTCGGCGTCGACCGCCTGTGAGCGGCGAGGCGAGATGAACCTCCGGATGCTGAAGCTCGACCGAGACATCCTGATGGGGAGATTGGGCGTACAAAGGGGATCATGCAGCTGGTCGGGACAGTATGGTTCTATATCGACTGGTACATTGACATATATGAGGACACGAAGGGGCGAGGGGGGGCGCTGTCTCTTTGGGGGCCTTTAACGAGTGACGTGACTGAGAGCAAGACCCATCAACCCAAGGGAAAGAACCAGGACAAAGAGAAAAGAGGGATGGAGGTCATCCGCAGGCAAGGGCAAAGGCCGCGAGGGTTGGCTGTATGTATGTTGTTCTCGATCTGCAAGTACATAGTATCACAAATAAAAGCAAGCGAGCCGGGGGCCATGTTGGGCCAGCTGATATGTATGGTTCTGCCTGCCTGGCTGGCTGTCGTCCGTACGGGTACAGTGTATGTCGAGTGAGTGCAGGCAAGTTGGATGCGTTATCCGGAGGTCCATGGCAGACAAGATGCAGGGTGGTAGTGGAAGTGGTCGATGGGAATGGTGCGGTGCGAGCTGCGGCGGTGCAAGAAGCCAATGCGATCCCTGTCTGGTCGTGCAGGCAAACTGCGAGAGGGCGGAGGCTTGTAGGGTTCGTGTGTCTTGCCCATCGGCCTGGGGTGGAGGTGGTTGACTCTTCCCGGCTCCTCTCGTTATTTTTGTCCCGCTTATTGGCTGTCTCTGCCGGCAGGTTGCTATTACTGGCCCATTATGTATGCCTCTGCAATGGACATTTTTCTCGAGGAGGGGGGGGGGGGGGGGGGGGGGCNCGGGAGACTGTCGTCGGGGGTGGTTTTTCTGGTTTCCTGGCTGGCTGGCTGGCTCGTGGTGGTGGTGGGCGGCGGGAGACGACGGCCCAGGGGGGGTGACATTGCATGCGTTCATCGCCGGCTCTTCCAGGCGTGAGAGATGTGATTGTTACAAAGATATGAATTCCAGATAAACTGCTTTGCTGTTAAGTTTGGAATACCTCGCCGCCGGTCGATTGCCGTCGTTTCCATGGTTCTTGCCGCCCCCCGCCCCGGCTCACAGAGCCAGCCAGCCCATCGTGCAGTCAGCCTTATGGAGGAGGAGGAGGGGTTGCGTTGCTTGATGCGCCGTCGTAGCTGTCGAGCAATATGGAACATCGCGGCCGACGTAGAGTGACGGATCAGCTCAGGATCAGCTCCGCCCGTCGCAATTGGAGGCGTATGTCGCACCGCGAAGAGAGACCATCGGTCACCTGCAGGCCTGAGAGAGATGCGACTCGAGGACTTCCTCGCTGTGCGACGACGCAGGCGGCGACGTGCAGTGACGGGCGACCAGTGGGATTCCCATCCGGTCCGGCTCCCTGGCAAGGACTCGCTAGCTTTTGCCCACAAGTTTAACTTGCGAGAGTAGAAGCAGGGGAGAGCAAAACTGTCGACTCATAGAGCCTGACAATGGACGCAGCTTGCGCCCAGCAAAGTACAGCATTCACCCAAGAGTGGCCCCAACGGGGTGACAGGACAAGGGAGCCATGGGAACCGGACAGTGCCCTTGCTGCGTCTATGCAGCGACTGACGATGCCACAATCTCGAAAAAGGGACATGCTAGCACCAACGCAGCAGACACAAACGACTGACTGACGGACATTTCTGAAATGACAGATTGACATGTCCAACTGCCGAGAGTTATCATCACCCAAGGGTTCAGCACTTGCTGGGCCTGCGGTCGAGACAGCAGCGGCGCCAGCTTACCTGCAATCTGTCAATAGCAAGGCGATTGATTGTTCCCGGATCAACATGCACGTAACGTAGTCCTGCTGGGCAGCCAAGCTACAGGGGGGGTCGAGATACCACCTTGCTGAGGTCTTCCACGCTCCCTACCAAGAAGGGCTTTAACAGCAACAGGCAGACAGACAAACCCAGACGTGCTAGTGTCATTCAATCATTTTTTTTGCCGGGACTGCTTGTCGATACGGAGCAAAGCAGATCATTGCAGAGCCTCTAGGACCGAATGAGGGGTTGGACGCGAACCGGGGCGACGATGACTGGGCAGGCGCGGGTCGGAAGCAAAAAGAAAAAGAAAAAATACTTGGAAGGAAAAAGAGTCCGCGGCGGCCGCATTTCTCATGCGCCTTCCCGGTGACGCGATCTGGGATTTTGACAAAAAGCCCATGGGTGGTAGTGGCAGAGGGAACGGGGGCCTGTTTCAAACCCAAGCAAATCCAAGAAGATGCTTTCCCAGCGGAATAATCCAAGGTGCAAGTCGGTCCGGCAAGGTGTCGACACCAGACTCGGCCAGACAGGCTAGAGCGAAAAGAGGATATCGACGGGACCTGGGATTTGAGAAAGACGTGGGAAGACGGGGCAGTCGAGTGCTTCCCCGGCCGTCGGCCGTAAGCAAGACACGGCGAACCACGAACCCTGGACCGACGACTTATGCCCGGTGACGTTGACGATGGACTGTTGTTGGTTCCATTGGCTGGGATGAGCCGGTGAAGAAGCAAAGGAATTCGTGTTGAAAGTGAAGTGCGCCGCCCCCATTCAGCAGTTGGCTGTGTTGTGGTTGTGGTGTGGCTAAGGAAACATGCAGAGGTTGGGTCAACCTGCTCTCTTCGAGTTGCGAATAAGTTGACCTGAGTGAGTGACTGCCTGCCATAACCCCCACTGTGCCCCAACGGCGCCCTCTTTGCCTCTCCAGCTGACCTCTGCTCTGCCCTGTCACTGAGTCGAGAAGGTTCCTGGCCCTTGCAGGAACCGTCTTTGTGCCCTGGAGCTAGCGCGCGGGGTTCGGGGGCCAGTGGGTGGTGGTTCCTGGCAAGGTGTCGATTCTGATGAATGAGCCTCGATCAGGTCTAGAGGCGAAGGAGAGGAGGAACAATCACTCCAACCCAACCCGTTCCAACCAACCGCGATTCTAGAATTACCGACAAAGAAACAATCTCTGTCACTTTGCTTTTTTCTTCAACGCAAACTCTTCAAACCCACCCATTTTGCCCATTCCAACCCCGATCGCCACGGCTGTCCCTCACCGCGCCTGATCATCACCCCATCGAGCCCCCAACTTCCTTCCTAACTACCTTACTCTGTGCTGCTGTTCTGCGTGGTATGCTAAAATTGCTGATAATCCACGAGCTGCTCGCGTTTCCGCATCTTTGCACAGTCCAGCAAGGCGCCTGAGTCGGCCCTCCGTCATATGCCCAGAACGCCGTTCTATTTCAGACCTCTCGAATGGAACATCGGCGGCCAACCCCTGCTGCCCTCAACACCCCTGCCGATGTTGCTGCCGCTGCCGCCGTCGCCGCCGCCGCCGCACATGGGCAACAGGGGGGGCCGTCAGCCCTCCATCTAAATACCTTGGCCTTTTGGCCTAGAATACCACCAGAATCTATATACCCAACTCCTCAAGAGAAACCTTAACCCCAATAAGGATGACAGGCATGGGAATGACAAGCAGGGGACGAGGGCAAAAACTTGGTCGAAGCTGAACCGAAAGTCCGTCCGTCCGTAAGAACGAGGTGATATCCGTACAGCCAAAAAAACCAATTAGACATAGACAGCCTGCTGCTCTCTTGCTCACCGCAGTAATCAACACCCATGTCCCATGTGCCCCACGGTTCGCATTGAGGACTGAGACAGGCACAGTTGAATGCGTGCCGCCGATCCAGCCCTCTCCCATCTCCTAAGTATTTGCTTTTTCGGCCGAATGGCCCCCTCATGTTAAATGCCTGTCTCGGTGGTTTCGTAAGCCCCGTACGGATAGACGGTAGACTTGTTCTGTTTATCGGTGCATACGGACGTAAGAAAAGCACTCCACCTTGGCAAACACGCGATCCTCACGACACTTTCGAGACATTTTGAGGTTTCCCGATCTGGCCGAGGAACGTCCGCCTGCAGATAGAAAAAATCGTATCGAAATTTATACGAATTATATACGTCCGTTAGTTTCCATCCAATCTTTGCCAGTAGGCCTGATAGGCCGGCCCAGTGTAAGAGACGCAGAAGATGGAACAGGGCCGCCGTGGCCAGCAGATGGTGACTGACTCCTTAATCGGCGCCATGCGGATACGTTTACAACAAACCCAGGAAAGAAAGACTGATTGGGCCAATATGCACAGTAGAAAGAAATCCCATGAAACAAGTTTGGTAGATATGAACCGGGGAGCGAATCCGTCGGTCCCTTGTGGAGAGAGCTTCTGCATCTTCACCACATCACCACAAGATCTGGATATATCCCGGCGCTTGCCCGTGCTGATTGTTCCCTTGATACCATCCTTGCCGCAAAGTCATCATGCTACAGGAAATTCAAAGCAACATATACCTGCGACTGCCTCACGGCCGGCTTAAGCGCTCGCTTGAATATGAGTAAGCACGGGAAGACACCGTAACATCGGCAAGTTCGTTAACAATTATAGTATTGATATTCCTCTATGTGGCCCGGGCAGCCAGGCAAAATGCTCCTCTAAAGTCGCAAATCTCATCCTCGCTCCAAATCCCAAGCCAATGGGCGACCATTGTCTGTGGGTAGTGATAGAAATATCTCTCTTCCTCCAGAGATCTTTTCCCTCCCCTGTTGCCAGTAAATCCGGCTTATTTTCCCATCTCTAAACGCCAATGAAGAATGAAGAACCGATCGCGCCTCGTCAAGTGACAAGGGTAGCAAGCGCCTGGTGATGACTGCATAACAACCGCGGCGATAATATTGGTGGTCTCTTTGAATAGAAGTTTTTTTTGGTCGTTGATTTTGTTTTTGATGTTTTTTTCGTCCGAGTGGACTGTAGAGTTGAACTCTTCCGGGTATCGTCGTGTGGTATTAAGTGGTATCGATGATTGGATGTGGTTGTCTGTCCCTCTTACAGGATCTCGCTGTTGACGCGGATCTCGTGGTTCGTCGTCGTCTTGATGTAAGACTTGGCGGCGTGCCTCGGGACGTAGGGTGTCTTCTTGACGGGCTCGTCGACCATGAGGCGCTCCTGCTCCTCAGGGGCGCCGTTGGAGAAGAGCGAGGAGAGGGAGGAGCTGCGGCTGGTCCTTTTTGAGGTGAAGCTGGCGAAGGAGGAGACAGAG